AACCGCGCCAGGCGGCTGATTGATCTTGCTCTTCCGCGAGCCGAAGTTCCCCATGGCACGCGCTCATTAAAGGGACATCGGATCCGACAACAGGGCGTTGCGGAGCAAAGGAGGGGAGCCTGAAGGAAGACCCCTTACCTCTAAAAGTGTGTTTTTTTTGCTGTCAGCACTAAGACCTCCTATGTCGCAACCAAAGCTTTTTGAATGTAGACGATAACTTATAACTTAGAATTGAGCCCCCAAAAGCCGGAGGCCTGCACAACATCTTCAAAGTGGCTTGTTAGACTCTAAGGGTGGGCTGAAAACTGGCGCGCCCCCAGACAAGCCAAACAAGACCTTAGCCTTACGGGCACAGTCACGTTGTAATAGTGGGAGCTGCTATTGGAAGATTTCAAGCTTCGTAGGAGTGGGTGATTTAGGGTTCGGGGCTTCCGGCTCGGGAATTGTGGTTCCGGCTCTAGATTTGGGCTTCATGGCGCGGGCGTTTCGAGCTTAGGGCCGAAAAGCTCAGAGCATGAATGAGAAGTTGAACACAGATGGCTTGGTGCCTCAGAAGCTGCGCCAAAGGCAGTTCTAGAACCAAGCCCTAAGCCCAAGTAGTCCTAAACTGGTTCCTTCTGCAGCGGCTGCTTTCGCGAATTCTTCCGCGGCCGACAGACTGTCGCAGTTTCAACGTCAAGCGTGCTCTGCACAGGGAGGCTGATGGTCTTTCAGCTTCGACTCTGACGTGTTGGGGGGAAGCTTGAGGTGTTGGGGCAAGTACAAGCTCCGGCAAGAAGAATAGCGTCCTCCAGAAATCGAGTTGCCCGCGCGCCCCACGCGAGCATGATCTCCTGCAGCCCGTTTGTCTCGGGACAGCGGACTGCTTCGCGAGGTAAGATTCGTGGTTCCGGGTGGAGTCGAGGGGCTTAGGATGGTTTAGGATTTACGGTTCATTAGCAGGGCTAGGGATGGTCAATCGGTCCAGCTTGTCCGTCTTCTTTTCGAGGCAAATGGTGAGGTCACCTCGGGATGTCGGTGGAAGTGAAACATTCCAAGTAGGGAAGGGTGCGCGCGCGCAAACGCGCGCGTTCGCGTGCGTTCTGGGTGGGTGGGTGGGTGGGCAGGTGGGTGGGTGGGTGGATGGGTGGGTGGGTGGATGGGGGCGTTTGTGTGGGTGTGTGTGTGGGATGCCCTGATGTACACAAAATATTTCCAACGTACAACGCATTTAATATTGCCGCAGTCATTACCATGCCTTGGTTCCCAAACATAATTCGGTGGCAGAGAATACCCGAAATGCAATAGCAGCAACCTCCACAAAGTAGTTGCGAGGTGATGGACAGGGCCTGGCACCAAAGAGCAGCAGCCACCGCTGCGGCGACATGCTGGGGAAGAAGACCACATTAGCAGGGCTGGGGTGTCTCGCCACAGCGAGGGACAGCGCCACGGCGCCAGAGCGGCGACAGTTTTAAGCAGCAGCCGGGCAGAGCCCAATGCTAAAGAGCAGCAACTAGCCAGAGTTTAGGGGGCGCGGAGAAGTGAAAGCCGCAGCAGGGCTGAAGAGAGGTTGCAGGCGCAGTGAGGGACAGCGCCCGGCGCCAAAGAGCAGCAGCTTGAAGGGGGCAGGCTCCACAAAACCGGGGGTGCAACGTTACCTTTCATCAACCTCCCAAATCATCCTTTTAAACCCTTGAAGCCTCAGCTGCCGAAGCACCCCCCTGGACGTGCAGCAGCGTAAAGGAGTGATAGGCGCCCCATCCCCGAGGCACCACAGACCAGTCCTGGCAATGGATGTGTAGTAGGGCTCTCAGAGCAGCGAAGGAATCTACAGGCCTTTTTTTAAGGGCAGATGTTGCTGCTGCTTCGGTTTAGGGTCTTTTGCGGCTTGGCTTCAAAAAAGCACCCGTTTTTAGCCCCGAGAACCTCTGGGCTCCCGTTCTTGATCCCTTGAGCTGAGCTACCTTAGAGCCCTAGGGTCTTAGGGTTCGGGGCACCTGGGAAAAAATCCACCAGGACCGTGAAGCCCCGAAGACTCTTTCCCTTCAGCGAGGCCTGCCGCACTTCGGTGTAGTGGGTGATATTGCGGAAGAGCTGCTCCCTGAGAGTTTGGAAAGGGCAAGACAGGACCAAGAAGATGTTCGTGCGCTGCGGCTCCTGGACTTTCTGAACACTCTGAACCCCGAAACCCCACGTAAATCTTAAATCCTGACACACGAACCCGACATAAACCTCAATCCTAACTCTCAGAAACCCTAAACCCTACACCCTAATCCCTAAACTCCCTGAACCTTGGAAGGCCCCCGAACGAAGCCCAACTCCCCAAAGCCTGCCGCCAAAGAGCGAGACATTTTTGTCCGGAGGGCTCGACAAGCGTAGCAGGGTGGTCTTCACCTTGGCGAAGCTCGGACTTTTGGCGATGGGCCGATGGGCCCCTTCGGCACGAATGTCCTGTTGAGGTGCCTTTTTTGATTTTGTGTGTCTGGGGGGACGTCCGCTGGAGACCGCAGCACCGGTTCAATCTCTCCAAAAGAATCCATGTCGAGCCATGACTTGCCATTGGCATGCACGTCTCCATTACAGCGGCCGTACTCCTCTAACGATCTGGGAACTGGAATCGGGCTTAGGGCTGTGAGGTTGTTAGGGTCCAGGCTCACGGTGTGGAGCGTGTCCGCTTGTAGTTTTGGTGTTGGGTGTCAAGCAAGCCCCGAAAAAACTCAGCCTCAAGCTTACAGAAGCCTTCAGATCCTGTAACCGCTCCCCTAAAAGACCAAAAAACATGTTCGCTGCTACGCGTTCTTGTCGCAGTGCTCCGAAGCCACTTGGCCCACTTATGGCTGCCCAAGCCGCCCAGATGTCGCCATCCTCCTTGAATTGGAAGAAGCCTGGGCTTTGTGGTTTTGCACAGCTTTCGGGACCCTCAAACCCCTTGTTCTCCCGCCCGAACACCCCTGCACCCTTAAGCCCACGAGATCTATAGACTTGAGACTCGAAGTGGGTGGGGGCCGTGGCTTCTTTTTTTTCGCGCAGGCTCGGGCATCCCAAATCCCGGCCAATCTTGGCTTCAAGGTTTTGCAGCTCGACCCCCTTCCTCCAGCTGCCTTAAGCCCCCCCAAACCCCCTATAAAACCCCAAACTACTGCGAGCAAAGCTGCGCACGAACTCGTCTTCTTCTGCCTTTTCCGCCACCTCCTGCCACAGTCGTGTAGTCGTGTGGAGGGGCTCAGACACCCTGAACTCAGAGACTCACATACTCAACCCGAACCTAAAACCAGACACCCCACACATACACCGCATGCGCCTCAAACCTTCAACATCGCAAGCTGCACCCTTCAAAGCCGCAGCCATTGTGGCGCAACCTTTTCACCTCCCCCCTCCCCCATCCGCCTCCACCGTTATGCACACCACCCAGTAGCCCCACCACGTGGCGTTCCAGCGCGCGGGCATGAACCTGGGCCGTTCTTTGTTGTGGCCGGGTAGGGATCTTGGGGGGAGCCGGGGGCATGGACTAGGCGGGCCCCGAAAGGTGCACGATACCGAGATGTTCAGCCATGCTCAGTACCGATTTATTTGCCTCGAAAGTGGCTCAAGCATCCCCCAAAGATTCACCGACCCGAAACACCTGCCGTTGAGAGTAAGATGCCGCTTATAACAGCTGTAAGGCTGGCACATAACATGAACATTGAAGCGCTGCCTCCGCGGCCAACGCAGCATCAGTTTCATCCCTAGCCTCCAAACACCTCTGCCAAACCCTCGGCCGGGCTGCTCTCCCATCTCGCCACAGAACATGGCGCCAGCAGGGCTTTGGGCCCAGAGCCCTACAAACCTTGAACCCTGAAGCCAGTGAACTGAAACAAACCCCGAAAGCTATCAAAGCCTTGCAAGATCAGTCCGAACACATGAGGTAGGGACTCAGGGCCTCCAGGCTTCTTGGTTTCCGGGTGCCGGGGTTGCAGAGTGAGTCGAGCAAGGGCTGAGTGTCTGGGGTTTAGGACTTTTGCAGAACTGCTCAGGTGAAGGCTCCAAAAACACTTGTATCTCAAAGGTTGCAGCACACTCAAAGCCATTGCAGATGATCTCGCATAGGTTTCTCCCAACTGAGGCTGCAAAAAAGCTGCGTCGGAGTTCGATGGCAGGCTCACAGGGCTTCGGCTTTGCAGCTTCATGGGTTTAGGGTTTTGGCTCTTGATGGGCTCAGGGACCCAGGGCTTTGTCCTCTATAGAGCTTTTGTAATGTCGGCCTTGGGGGTTTTGCTATGTCGGAGACGGGGCTACGGCTAAGAGTGACTAGAGGGATTACTTTGGGTTGAGGGCATCAGCTGTGGGTGACTTCGGGGCCAGAAAGTCTTTCCTTGCTTCAGAGGGAGGCTAACGCATCCGTTTCACCACAACCTGTCGCAGAAGTCGCACTAAGTGCATTGCACCACAGCAGCAACAACAACAACAACAACAACAACAACAACAACAACAACAACAACAACAACAACAACAACAACAACAACAACAACAACAACAACAACAACAACAACAACAACAACAACAACAACAACAACAGCAGCCACAGCGACAGCGACAGCGACAGCCACAGCAACAGCAGCAGCAACAGCAAGAGCAACAGCAAGAGCAACAGCAACAGCAAGAAGAACAAGAACAATAACAAGGTCAACAAAGAGGATATTTTACTTCAAACATCCCCACTCTGCACGCAATGAAGTTGCGAGCTCACTCTGGGGTTGGGCACTCCAGGGGCTTTGTCGGGATACTTCGGGGAGGAGACGACCGAGCGAGGAGAAGAGTTCAGTGCTATTCTACCCCACACTGAGGATGGGAAACAATAGGAAAAAGTAGTAAGAACAGAACCAAAAAAAAACACTACGCGCTAACAATGACAATCACCGGAACAACATCCGTAACAAGTACAATCTTCAAGAACAATAACAACGGAATCTGGAATTGATTCATCCCAAATCTAGAAGCACAAGGCGCAAAGCAAACAGCAAAGTTCAAGGTCACTGCGGCACCCCCCATCAGCGGCCAGTACTCGTCCAGGCCAGTCTTAAGCACCACCTGGCACCACGTTGTCAACCTCAAAGCCCTAAGCTCACATCCTAAACATCTACAAGCAAGTTTGAGGTCTGAAGCGAAAGTCGCCAAACATCCTAAAGCGGACTTCGGGTTGGTGAGACATTCTAAGTCCAGGAATCCGGCTCGAAGGTACGTAGGGGGGTTTAACACAAAGAGCTGAAAGACACTCCTTCAAGTCTCCCTGCTCACGCGGCGATGCGGCAGACAATCTCATGGACGGAATTTCAGACGAGAACAAAACACAAAAGTGAGTATGATGTTGGCATTCCTTTATGTCATAAGTTTATTCTTCCTGCAAATTCTCGGGGCCACATAAGCTCCTAGACGCCCTCTAAACCCAACTACTACACCGTTTTGAAGCCTTAACCTATGAGCTCTGCACGCTCTAAGCTTTCAGGGCCAATCGCTGCCTCGAAGCGCTGCCGGCTGTGACCTCCAGCACCTGGCTGCTTGAATGCTGAGCACTTCTAGGCGGGGGCGATTAAACATTTTATTGGCAGCTTTGAGATGCAACTTTCCCTACCACTCCAAACAGCAGAAGGCACGTTTTTCGGAAATCCGTCAAATCCAGGAATGCGTTGTTCGGACTCGGGCGGAAACGGAAAAACGCAAAACACAGTGCAAAAAGCTTGTTTTCCCATTCCTGGGCTGTTTGGGAAAAAGCCTTCTTTTCTCTCTCAATTTTTTCTGGCTAGTGATGGATCTAGCGCCCTAGCTCCGAAAAAAAAGAGAAAACGCGCTCAGTTAGCCTGAGACTGAGTAAGCCCCGGACAGCGAACTCAAGGCATCGTAAGCTCCGGGCACAGGAAGGACATGCGCATCGTGCAATGCTGAAGGATGTCCGGCTTGGCTTCCTGCGGCTTTGCAACAAAACCCCGCAGAGGTCAGAGCTTGAAGGTCTGGAGCCTCTTCTTGGCACGTCTCAATAACACGGTTCTAACACATTCTATGAAGCCACACAGGCGCCCTTAAAGACCCCAACAGAAGGTTAACAAAAGCTGCTGAGGAACGCGCCTTGAAAAGCACGGAGGGCGGTTGCAGCTCCAGAGTGGAGGCCTTCTCGCAGCACCCCCGGACTTCGAACTTCTGGATAAGGTTTTTTAAGAGACATCACGGTGCTTTCCCGAGATTCCCCTCTAAGCTAAGCCCCCACCCCCCCCCCCCCCCCCCAAATGCGCGTAACTTGCTGCAACTTGTTGCTCTCGCAGTTCACGGCTCTCGTGCCTGGCATCCTCGATTCCCCTCTAAGCTAAGCCCCCACCCCCCCCCCCCCCCCCCAAATGCGCGTAACTTGCTGCAACTTGTTGCTCTCGCAGTTCACGGCTCTCGTGCCTGGCATCCTCGGGAGGGTGGCATAGCGGTATAGGTTGTAAATGCTACTGAGGAAGCTCTTACTTCATGAGCCCCAAACCCTTTCGAAACCAAAAAAAAGCTCCTAAAGCCCCTCGCCCCGACAACAACTTAGAGAACACAAGATCTAAGTTTGCAAGAGCCTGGACCGGCTCTTCACCGCCAGTGGGAAAGCACAAGACCACTGTAAAAACCACTACCAAGGCCCTCTTCCAAGGCCTTGCATGCCCCCAAGCAATGTCTCTCCAAACCGTCTTTCAGGCTCCGAGGGCGGCCTGGCCAAAGGCCGTCGGCCGCTCCCGCCGCTGGCCTGGGAAAGGTTCCTTTGCCCATGTGTTGGAGGGCGGGCGGGGGGTGCGCTTTTTTTGGGTAGGTTTGCTTTGGAGGCCTCTCAGGGCACCTTCATGATGAGGCTTCGAGACCTCGGCTTCCTGTAATCAACCCTAACCCTACCCCCTAGAGGTGCTTAAAACACAGCGACAACGGTCTCGAGAAGGCACTGGGCTTCGGGTCGGCTTCCAGAGGGTATCCAATTCTTACAGATGTCACACGATTTCTTGGGCTTGCAGATTGGGGCTGATAAAGCTTGGGACTTTGTGCAAGGCCCCACATGGCATTTTGGGAGTCGAAGGTCAGGTTTCAGGATTTTTCGTGGGCGGCTGAGAGTCTGAGCCTTGACGGTTTTTCCGGATGTGTTCGGGCTTTGGGAATGTAAGTTCCAGGTTCAAGGTAGAACTTGTGGTTTTGGTGTTCCTTCATGCTTGGGGGCTATGGTGTCTTGAAATAATCTTGGGGTAACACTCCAAGGAAACATGCTTTCTTGCGACTACTGACTAGCTTCTCCGTGCCATCACAGCTGCCTGGGACCTGAAGGCGGGAGCTAAACCCCCCTAAACCCCTCTGAACCTAAACCCTAAAACCCCCTCAAACGCCTCTAAACCACCACGGTAACCAAAACGACCTGCCTGTTAGCCGCTCGTCGCAGGGCGCCCGGAGGCAAGCGAAGACCAGTCGGTGGTCCGACCTTGCTGTGGCGAGAGGGTTTAGGGGTTCAGGGGCTTAAGATCTAGAGGTTTTGGGGTTCAAGGGTTTAGGAGTTTAGGGATTTAGGGGTTTGGGGGTTTATTTAGGGTTCAGGGTTTAGGGTTTGGTGACCCGTATGTTTAGACTAGCCAAAAAAAAAGGCTTTGATGCGGCTTTGGAAAGGCAGCTTTGGGCTTCATCCTGTGGCGCCCACTTCCCCAAATTCCATAGACACACCCTGGAGCCCTGAGACCTCAGACACACCACGACACTGCAGCCAGAGACTTCTGCAACCCCCCCCCACCCCCACCCCCGCGAGTCTTGTAGAGAGACCGGAAGCAGGATCTCGGGGGATTCTTTGGGCATCGTGGAGCTTTTTTAGGTTGGCGGCGTTAGCACTTGAGGATTTGTTTTTCCTGACTGCGTTAAGTTTGTAATTACAAGGTTTTGGCACACCAAAGCCCCGAAGCACATGGGTTTAAACCCTCGAGGCAGGTATCAGGGTTGGGCTTCGGATTGGGCCGCGCGGGTCTCCTTTAGGATGTGGGGAGTATGGGTGGAGCATACAGTTCCTCGACACTCCCTCTCAACTGCCAGTTTCCTCAGAAAATGGACATTTGAGCCCTTTCATCCCAGTATCCAGACATTAAAATCTCTAGGGTTTAGGAGGGTTTGGGGGTTTGGGGTTCCAAAGGTTTAAACAGCTAAAGCCCGAAAAGCCCCCAAGCCTGGGCCCTCAAAACCATCAGACGACCCACACACCCCTGTTGCCCTAAACCCTAAACCCTAAACCCTAGACCCTGGACATTAAACCCGAATTAAACCCTAAACCCTAAATCCTAAATCCTAAACCCTAAACTCTAAACCCCCAACCCTACCCCCCCCCCCCCTGTGCCCTCCGACTGCTTGAGCCCGGCATGCATGTTGTACTGGCTCACCGAGAGACCCGGACTGCAGGGTGGCTGCTGCTTGGTTTAGGGTTTAGTTTGGGGTTTGGGGTTTGGGGTTTAGGGTTCAGGGTTCAGGGTTCAGGGTCCAGGGTTCAGGGTTCAGGGTTTAGGGTTTAGGGTTTAGGGTTTAGGGTTTAGGGTTTAGGGCTTAGGGCTTAGGGCTTAGGGCTCAGGGTTTAGGGTTTAGGGTTTAGGGTTTAGGGTTTAGGGTTTAGGGTTTAGGGTTTAGGTGGGTTTTTAGGGTTTAGGGTTTAGGGTTTAGGGTTTAGGGTTTAGGGTTTAGGGTTTAGGGTTTAGGGTTTAGGGTTTAGGGTTTAGGGTTTAGGGTTTAGGGTTAGGGTTTAGGGTTTAGGGTTTAGGGTTTAGGTTTAGAGTTTAGGGGATTGAGCTTTTGGGGTTCAGGGGTCCCTGAGGAGTCCAAGGCTAAGGGGCTTTGAATCTCAAGGGTGTAATTGGGGTGGCACCGCGTTGTACACGAGCGTCGGCTCGAACTACACCGGAAAACCCGCAGACGTCCTTGCAGCCTACGGCATGACATGCCGAGGTTCTGGGATGCCCACAAGCATTTCCGTCGGGCGAGAACGCCGCTTCAGTTTCTACAGTAAGCCTGTTTTTCGTGTTGCTCTTGAAGGGTTCTTTCCGACTCAAGGGAACCTCTAGCCCTAAGTGAAGGGGGAACAGCAAAACAGGATGACCCAAAACCCTAAACCCTAAACCCCAAACCCTCAACCCTACAACCCTAAACCAAAAAGGATACACGCGACGGCCAAGAGCAGTGGACCCTGGAGAGGCCTCATCTTCGACCGATACAGGATGCGGTCCGTCCATGCCTCGGGACGCGGCCGAATGACTTTGTGCTCAGGTCTTGGAGGTTTATGTGTTCGGCTGGGTTTAGGGTTTAGGGTTTAGGGTTTCGGGTTTCGGGTTTAGGGTTCAGGGTCCAGGGTTTAGGGGTGTAGGGGTGTGTTACGTGTAACGGCTACGTAGTGAGAAGTATGTGAACCGGCATTGCAACCTCTTGCGCCAGCTCGGGAACCCGCACAGACTTCATAGGGGCCCCGGAAGCTTCAAGCATAGGGCTTAGGGTTTTGGATTCTGGGTTTAGGGTTCAGGGTTTAAGGTTTAGGGTTTAGGGTTTAGGGTTTAGGGTTTAGGGTTTAGGGTTTAGGGTTAGGGTTGAGACCCCAATTCCCCATACCCTCAGCCCGAGCCTGAAGGGTTGGGCGTGCCTTTTTTGAGCAACCTTGTGGGAAGGGTTCTCTCGTGTGAAACGGCACAATGTGCGACCAGCTTTTTAGGGTTTAGGGTTTAGGGTTAAGGGTTTAGGGTTTAGGGTTTAGGGTTTAGGGTTTAGGGTTTAGGGTTTAGGGTTTAGGGTTTAGGGTTTAGGGCTACATCCGCATATCCAACACCCAAGAGTCGGCCCAAAACACAAGGCTCCATGCAGTAGGGGTCATTGGGCTCACATGGAGCAGTGTAAAGCTTTCCTCCCAAGTCCCGGAACCTTGTTTCCCATTCATTCTGGGACCGAACTCTTCCTGAACCCCTAGCCCCTAGGCCCTACACCCAACACAGTATCTTTGACAGCGGGCTGAGGTAAGGGTTCGGACTCCATGTTTGCAGGGTTTGCAGGCCATTCAGGCTTGTAGGCTTGTGACTTCGAATCCTGGGCTCCTTTCCGCACATGGCGGCTGCGTAGGGCTTGGTCAGGGGCTTTGGATTTCCCCTAAGGGTCCATGTACCTCGTTCTTAGGTACTTGGGCTCCAGAGTCCCTACGTAGGAAGTACTCTAGTCTAAGGCCCAAGTATTCCCTGTTTAGGTACATGGGCCCTTACAGTTACAGCAGGTTTCAGGGCTTAAGGTCCAGCGGTTTCGGAGCTCAGGGCTGGGAATGGAGTGCATCTACTCGGGCACGACGGGGCCGGCTCAGCGCTCACCGGCCTGCACAGGCAGCAAACAAAATGAGACCCACCAGTTACTAACAGTCCTGAATCGGGATTGCAGCAAGGGGCACTATAATCCAGATTAATGGACTATTAGTAGAAGGAGAATCCCAACCCACCAGCAAGGGGGAGAGAGAGAGAGAGAACACGTCCCAGCCAAAACAGCCACACCTCCAAACAATACAACCTCAAAAAACACCTCCCCTCCCAGCAACTGCACCTCACAAAGCAGGAGCTGGCGACGGCGCCGCCACAGCAGCCGCTGGAGCAGGGCCTCCAAAAGTTGGGAAATGGGGCTTCTGGGGTCTGACGCAGGCGCTCTGTAGGGGTTTGAGGGTGTTGAGGCATTGGGGCCTAGGCTTCCGTTACGACTGCACTCCGAAGGGCACCGTGCAGCAACACCCTCCACTCTGAACAGCCCGAAGCCTAAACCACGCCCTGAAAACCCGAATGTGGGATTGACCTTTGGGCATACTGTCCTGAAACATATTGTTGGAGAGTGCTGTACACCCTAAACCCTAAACCCTAAACCCTTTTTTTGTGGTACGTGGTACATCTTTTGTGCACTGTATGTCATGGGAAGCAGGAGCCTTTGCCTTCGACTCTTCTGTTGATACGTTAGCTTGTTGCGTGACATGAAGAGAGAGAGAGAGAGAGCGCAAAAAAAAGGCGAGAGAGAGAGAGAGAGAAAAAAGAGAGAGAGAGAGAGATAGAGAAAAGAGAGAGAGAGAGAGGGAGAGAGGGGATAAAGAGAGAAGACGGCAGTGACTAAAAAACGGGTCGGCGCCTAAAGCAGGACGGGCCCCTGCTCATCTTTTCCTTCCCCTACTCACCCACTCTCCCACTCACTTTCTCGCACTCTTTCACACCCTCAACCACTCACTTACGGTCTCTCTCGTTCTCTCTTTTTCCCCGTGCTGAGTGTGGGGTTGCTAGCAACCTGAGCCCTCAGCAGGGCTTTGCAGAAGCGCACATTCACCTTTACCACCCGCCCCCCCCCCCACATCCCCCCAGAGCCCCCCCCCCCCCCCCCCCCACGCAGGCCTGCGCCTGGAAGAGGTCGGGGTCCACCGGTTGACCAATGGCCCCAGCCTCAAACACTGGGGCTTCGGGAGTTTTGGGGATTTAGGGGCTTGACTCGTCGTCTGGGGCTCTGCTTGGAGGTTCATGGTACTTATTAACCATATTACTGTACGTACAATTACTTATTATAACGATATCAGGGCACTTAAGGGTTATAAGTACACTTGTAATCGGTTACTAAGTACCGTGAACCTCCAAGTGGGGTTGATGGCTCAGGGCTTAGAGCGCGGCTGGGAGTGTGTCGAATATCTTCGCGTTCTCAATGCAAGGAGCCCGACTTGTAAGGTCCGTCGCGAGGGAAAGAGCCCCCGAAACCCCCGATTCCCTAGTTTCCCGCGGTTCCACGATCAATCTTTACGCTTTAAGGCGGACTGCAGGGCCCAAGGGCTTCCAACAAAGATATCAGGGCCCAGCCAGTGAAACCTAGTATTTTAAGCTGGGGCTCAACTAGGGTTGAGGCTTCAGAGGATTCCGGGCGTAAGGTTTCGGGGCGAGAGCCTGAAATCCTGATCCCGAAATCCCTCAAGGAACTAAAATGATTCTCCCAATGTACGGCACGGCGCGGGGGGGGGGGGTTTACGGTGAATCTGAAGTAGGCCAGTTCTGGGCTCTGGAACCCCAGGTCCCCATCTACCCCGAGCGCCGAACGCTCGAAGTAGTCGTGCGCGAAGAGTCGGTGGTAGCCCATCCACACCTTCGATCCAAAGAGGCCAAGATCCCTTAATTGGGGAATATTTTGCTTAACTTATAAAGGGATCCTGAATGTGGTTTAAGGTATATTCCTTAATTAAGGGGTATTGGGCTCTTTGGGCGTCTGCTTTAAAGGAAGGAAGTTCAGGGATGCGCGAGAGCCGCGGAAGCCTTGAGGCTTTCGGCCGTCGGGACTTTGGGGCGCTTCAGGGTCGAAGCGATGATGCTAAGCCCAGTAAACCCTACCTGTCCTCATTCGGAGTTCTAAATCTGAGTTGAGCCACGAAACCCCGAACCCAGGAATGATGGCTTGTTGTGAAGGGAAAAGGCTCTGACGATCAGAACCCCCCCCCCCCACCCACAGCTCTGCGATGCGTCCAAGGGTGATATCTGAAAGGTGCGTGGATGTCGCCGATGTTGGCCCTGCAACGTCCTTGCCCCTGGATGCCTGAACCCACCAAACCCCACGGCACCAGCACCCCCAGTAACCCAACTGTCACGACTCCGGTGTGAATCGAACCCTCCATGCCATGCTGAAGTTCGAACCCGAAGCTTGCCCTCCCCCCAAAAAAGTGCGATCAAGATGAATTCGTAACTTCGCAAGCCGACCTAGGTATCAAAGTGCCTGGGCTTTAGACCTGTGTAAACATCGTAGTTCCATACTACAGCTCGGGAAGCTTCGGATTCTTGGGATTTAGTGTTCCATGGCTTGGGCGGGTGTGCAGAGCCAGGCCCAAGTCTCCAAACCCAAAACCGTCCACCGTGGGCCCCGAATCGGTCTGTGCCTCTTTTGGCACACCAGCAGGGCCTCAATGCCAGTAGCTTGGACCGGGGTGGTTAAAGCTACATGGGGCCGACTGGTGAGTCCGGGCTTTAAGGCAGGGCTCGGTGTCATGCCACCGGGCAGGCAAAGAAGGGCTTCGGAATGCCCGCGCCTACTGCACGTCTCTAGGAGTCGCACAGTACAAGTTTCGAACTTTGCCTGCCCGAACTGCACCCCAAAACCCTCCACCAAACGAAGGATCAGACCCATCCTTATCCTGCATGTCTTGGCTATCGGGAAGCTACTCCCAGATCATCGAGTTCCAAAGCGTTCAACGTGGTCACGACCACCAGGCTCTTGCAAACTCCGTGCCCAACACATTTTAGGCCCACCAGAAGCTCTCTCCGCAACTCAAGGTACCAACTCTGTGCGAACATCTCAACCATAAACCCCTCTACACCCCAAACCAAGCCCATCATATTTGGTTTATACCTATGAACCTCCCCCACCCACCACCCGCACGAATGCCGACACCTGCATCCCCTCAACCCGAGACCCTAAACCCCAAACCCCAAACCCTAAACCGACACTAGCGACACCCAAGCCCCGCCTTGCGCAGGCCCTGGTGCAGGCGCTGGCGCTGGCGCCGGAGCCGATGCGGGCGACGCGCCCTGTCAGGCGGCTTTAAAGAGAACTCCAAAAACTTGGAACATCCCTATCCTCGTACCAGAAAAGGTATACTGAAGGGAATCCCGGCTCTGATCATCCTTCCATGTTCCAACTTTCTGGAGTTTACTCTAAGTCTTTTGTAGGGTTGATGGGCATTCTTGATTCCTCTTGGGGGTGCAGAGGTTTGAAATCTGTGGAGGGCTGCAGGGCTTCTGAGGGTCGAGGGCACCTCAATCCCGGTCTTCACAGGGTTTAGGGTTTAGGGTTTAGGGTTTAGGGTTTAGGGTTTAGGGTTTAGGGTTTAGGGTTTAGGGTCTCCCCTCTGAAACGAACAACAGATAGATGGCACCTCCATGGCCAGCATGGGCGAGAGGGCACCGCCGTCAGGCCTGCTTCCACCCCCCGCCACCCCCACGCTCCCGACGCATGTTGCGCCACAGGAATCTGTTGGATGGGACCTGGACATCCTTGATCTGTGGTGATTCTTGAACAATGCCTACGAAAGTCTTTGGGGAGAAGCACTCTGTTTTTCCCCTACTTCGGGGCTGGCTGCTCGAATATCCCGACACCGTATTTCGCAGAGCACCCCTGCGTTAATCCCCAAATTGACAAGTTTTAAAGGGAACTGCTGGAGGAGGGAGTGCCGGGGAGTCGCCCTGCAATGCACCAAGAACTCTCCCAACTTGGAGGGCTCGCGAAGTGTCGGGGATTCGGGCATTGAAAGGTCGGTTTCGGGGCTTATGGAGTTGGCAGTCTTGCGGTTCGGGGCTTCTAGGATTATGTGGACTTGGGGAGTGGTCCAGGGGTTAAGGGCTTAGGGATGCTTGTGTGTGTGTGTGTGCTTTGCGACTTCGGGGTTCAAGGCCTGCTCTTTTTTCTTTTTTTTTGGGGGGGAGGGGGGGAGAGCTTCTGACTGAGAAATGGAAGGGAACCCACATCACGCCTGAAGAGCGAAGGGCGGAGCCGCCTCCAGCATGGGGGAGGGCAGATGCGGGGATGCGATTCGATTTTAAAGCCACAGCCGGTGCCCCTCAAAGATCGATCACTACAGGTCCCTATACAGATCCGAGGCTTTGTAACTTTCGGGCTTCTGGCTTGTGGACGCTTGTTAAGAGCATAATTATAGGGTTAGGGGAGCTCTGCTCGGAATCTGCTCGGAATCGGTGTGCTTCTCGGGCTCTTTACCATGTGTAAGGTCGTGCTCACAACCAGCTTCCGATCTTGATTCTGAAGCCCTAGATCCTACCGAAGACAAGACAACTAAAGACACTGAAGCCACTAAAGCCACTAGCCTCTCAACCCTGAACGCGAAGGCAATTCGTCAAAAGGAGCTGGTGCTTTTGGAGTGCTCCGGCCGCACCTCACAGCCTCGTCTGCCGTGGCACGTACGGCGACTGGGTCCTGCCGGGATCACTGCTCCGGCTTTTCCAGTGCAGGGTAGAAGTTTAGAGCCTCGGGTATGATACAGGTAGGCATTCGGCATGGCTGTTTCGTTTGCTCTGAGGTTGTTGTTCAAGGGTCGAGGGCCAATTGTTCGGATGTTTACCGACAAGTGCTTCGATGCTGTGTCTAGCTTGCTACGCCAACGCGAAACCGTGGATCCGAAGTTGGTGCTGTCTGCCGAGAGAACTTCCTCAACCCCGCAACCTGCAACCCCTCTCAAGCCCCATAAACGAGCGTCAGAGCCTGAACCATGCTTGTCGGGTTTAGGGTTTAGGGTTTAGGGTTTAGGGTTTAGGGTTTAGGGTTTGGGGTTTGGGGTTTAGGGTTTAGGGTTTAGGGTTTAGGGTTTAGGGTCCTAAACTCCAAGCCACCCCAAGCTCCCAAACCCAAACCCATGCCTCGCTTCCGGTGGCCAACACGCCTGCGCGTTTCGGGTTTAGGGTTTAGGGTTTAGGGTTTAGGGTTTAGGGTTTAGGGTTTAGGGTTTAGGGTTTAGGGCTTAGGGTTTAGGGCTTAGGGTTGAATTTTGCAGATTTTAACGGCTTTAACTCAGCTTTCAGGCTGGGAGATTGGGCTTTCGGATTCTTTTCATAAAGAAGGCCCATGCCTGCCCGACGCATCGCCCCACCAAACGATGTGAAACCCTTCCAGATGCTATCTAAAGCTCAGTACAAAGCAACACGAAGTTTCCGCCGTAAGGCCCTCAATCTGTGAAACCCTTACCGTTAGGGACTTGGGAGTGTTGAGACGTCTTGAGACGTAGAGAATGTTGAAGCTTGGGGGCTTTGGGGCTTCCCGGCCTGCGCAAGCGCCAACAAGCAGCCACTGTCTCCACTTCATTGGGTTTGTCTGGGTGGGCAAACCGGGTGTTCGACTTGAGCCCGGCTGCGGGCGCGCATTGCTGCAGTAGATGCCAGGCGCTTCAAGTCTACAATGTTATAGGGGTTGAGATTCAGGAGCTACATGCCCAAGCTGCGAAAGTAGAGCATTTATAGGGCTTAAGGGAGTGGGTTCAAGGGGGTATGTAACCCAAGGTTCCCTAATACTCCCTACTACTCCCTAAGGCTCCCTAAGCTTCCCTAAGGTTGCCTAGGTTGCCTAGGTACCTACCCCCCATGAACTCCTCTCCCTTAAGAACCCTATAAAAGCATGCTCGGATGTATCCAGTCTCTAAACTCTACGACACGGATCGTAATCCCCTTCCGATACCTACCTTTCTCCTGTCCACTGTGAAGATTGCTCGTTTAGACGGACTTCCAAGTGTACCAAAATGACGGCGGGTGCGCATGTCCCCTATATATGCCACCCATGTCCGCCCTGAGACGAAACCCCTCTGCACCCCATGAACCCTCCCTAACAAGTCCCTTTGAACTCCATGAAAACTGACACTTTCTGAAACCTCTGAACCTTCATGGGTTCTAACCCTCCCCTAGGTTCCCCCCATAATTACGGGAAACCCATGAAACCTTGAGCCGCCCTGGACCCACTCAGGGTTCCCAACGGGCACATGCTTCTGCGTCCGCATGTCGTAGGCGTCCCGGTCTGGGTGCCACTTGTAGGACGGGAGGAAGCAAATCCGATGCTCCTGGCAGCCATCGGAGGCATCCCCAAACCCCAAACCCTATACTCCAAACCCTAAACCCTAAACCCTAAAACATCCTAAAACCAACGAACCCCAAAGCAGCTGCTCCAGATGCGACGCTGGCGGGTAACAGTCGACATCGGCCGGGAGAGAGGAGCAGATGCAAGGGAAGAATCAAGCTTCCACGACACTCCCGATGCCCCCTAAAGAACTGATGCAAGACATAAGCCGCTGATTCCTTGATCCCCCTGACGCCTCGCCTAGGAAGAACAACCGTTAGCACTCAACTCAACCCAGCCAACACCTCCTCGACGCTCAACCCTACATCAAGACTCACGGATGGATGTATGGACGGATGGACGGATGGACAGATGGATGAAATGAAATAAGTGAATATGTGTATATATATATACATATAGCAAGAAGGTCGCCTGATCGGCCAGAGTTTGCTGCGTTTCCTTGTGTCGTAACACCAACTTGGGATATTTACAAAACCACGAACAAGCAACACCTTGTTAGCGCCAGTTGTGGCTGTGTACAGCCCCGAAAGAGCAACGCTTTGTTAACACCAGTTGTGGTTATGTACAGACCCGAAAGAGCAACATTTTGCTAACACCAGCTGTGGATATGTACGAGACTCACCGCCAGTGCCCGCTAAAAACAGATGGGGATTCCAGAGCAGCGCCGGATACATGTACAGGCTTGCGTTCAGTACTCGCTGCCCGTACATATGTGACGCTTTAGAAGAGACGAGCAAAGCTGATGGAAAACGAAAATTTCAGGTGCTGCTTCTTGACTTTGGCTGTGGGCTTGTTCTTACTGATAAGGTTCATCTGAGAAAGCAACACTCACAAAACCGATTGTTAACAAAGTGCTGTATTTGGTGTGGTTGTTTCGTGTTTGTTCTGCGCCGATGATGTGTTGTCAACTCTGTAGACTGCTGTCAGGGCTTGAAACAGAAACCTGTGTTGTCAAAAATCTTGCTCGTAGCGCCGTCGCATCTGGCACTTGTAACGATTTCCCCTTTTTGCTTCGTGAGCCGTTATGCTGTCTGACGCGAATGTTAACAAAGTGTTTGGTCTGTAGCTCCCGCCGTGCTGGCCCGTGTTAACAAAATGTTGCCGAGCACCGTCGCTTCTAGCACTGTAGCGATATGCTCTGCACACAGATGCGTCTCTGTGAGTGGTCATGTTGTCGCAGGCGAAAATCAGACGCAGCTGCTGACAAATTGTTGCTCCTTCGCTGTCGCTTCTTGCCCTAAACTGGCATGCTGCGTAGCAAACAACAGACAACAGCTGCGCCCTTCAGTTCAAGAACACCCAATACTCGATGCTCAAGTCGAGACCTCGAAGTCGTGGAAGGCCATGCCGTCCCGACGCATGAGGTTCAGCCTTAGTGACATCAGTGACAGGGAGAGTACAGCTGTCCAGTGTTGATGCTGGTGGTGTGGGCCTTTCGGGCAAGGGTTTCAAGGGTTTGCTGAAGATGCTGACATTTCCAGATTCTAGGAGCATCCCTCCGCGATGTCCAGACTCTTGCCGAGCCGTCCATACCTTAAAGCTTCCACTACCCAAGGCCTCTGGTACAAATGCTACCTAGAGACTGATCTAGCGCCAAGAGCTCGCCATAGCGCTTGCCGAGGATGTTCTCTCGAGCCTTGCCAAGCAGCGGCGTTCAGATTTCAGGTCTGCAGGGTTTACTGGAGGATATGGAGAGAACTGAACTGTGTGGTGCCGGACCAATGCCACACGATTTGAAGAACAGAAGCTGCGTTGCTCTACGTGAACGTTGCAAGTCCCAAAAACCCCGCAGATCTCCTCGTCACCCTAGAGACCCAAAGACCCATGGAACCCAAAATCCCAACACACCACCCCACCTCCCACCCCACCCCCCCCCGCTCCCGTCCACGAACTCCTGCACGAACTTTTGTGTTAGAGCATGCTTCAGAGAGCTAACGCTCCACCCCTCCTCTCGCCACCCCATCTCACCCCCCCCCCCCCAGAGGCAAAGCTGTGCCTGCAGCAGCGGCATGCCACCCAACTTCCCGGGCCAATGGAGCCTGGCTCTTCGGGCGGTTCAGGTTTAACACTCGGATGGCCCATAAATAAAACCCTCTGAAAACATATATTCCTGAAGATGATCATCCGAAACCCCATAAGGGAAGACATGCAATGTCTCAAGGGCCTACCAAGAACATGAAGCCTGCGGATGCAGGCTTTGAGGACGTCTTAAGATTACACAAACCTTCTCAACGTCCCTCAGATCCAACGCGCAACACCCTGAGTTTAACCAATCGGCGCAGAATCCATGTTCCTGGTTAGGCGCTAAGCTAAGCTGATCGCCGGCCTCGAGTTCGTGTCGCCAACCCACACGACGTGATCGTGATCCTTGTCCGGAGTTTGCTGAGCTTAGGTCGCTTGGGGCTCTAAAATCATGATGAAGCCTTCGAGTATTCCTCTGGGGTGTCTTTTTGGTATTGTAGGTTGAACGTTCAAAGCAGTTTCAAACTGTTGTGTGGGTCTTGTTGTCTTTGATGGTCACTATTTGCAAGCCATCATTCAGGCGCACGAGCTGGACGAATTGCATTGCAGGAGCTGTGAGCTGTCTGCTTGCACCTGTTTTTGCGAGACGGAATCTGCAGATGTGGAGATATATATATATATATATGTACACACATATATAACACACACACACATATATATATATATATACATATATATATATACATACACACACATACCTCTTGTTGCGTTTGAAAGGTTGGAGACTGACCGGAAGTTGGCCTTGGTTGCCACGACCATGACAATCTCAGACCCAGACGCGGAAGACCGGGCACTGCACGCTTCGAGACCAACACCAAAACAAGAGATGTAAAGTTCATGAAGTGCCCGTGTCACTATGTTTGGCTGCATTCGAGGTCTGTTAGGGTCTTGACAGGTTCCTGTCGCCAACGGGCCAGGATCAAGGTCCCATTCCCAAACGGAGACACCCTTGAACGTCATGACTCGACTTCCAGGATTCTCTGCCCCGTGACCGCAGGACGGAGAACTCTACTCCCCGAGCCGTTCAGCTGAAGGCTGAACGCGAGCTTCAACTACAACCTTCGCCCATTGTGTTGGAGGCCTTGCGGACTGTTGGGGACAAACATAAGCCGCGGCAAAACGACTTGGTCCGACCTTAGCTATGGTCGAAAGACCCCGATGCAAACTTTGATTTCAACCTCCCAACGCCCAAACAGCTGAACAACACCCTAAGCCCTAAGCCCTAAGCCCTAAACCCTAAACCCTCAAGTCACTCCAGTCCCCCTCCCCCCCGCCTCCCATTATCTCCCAATATCTCCCCTTACCTTTGGGGCCCGAGCCAGGATCCGCAGCCCGGCCGGCTGCGCCAACCGCGCGGACCTGTGCATTTATGGAGGGTTTAGGGTTTAGGGTTTAGGGTTTAGGGTTTAGGGTTTAGGGTTTAGGGTTTAAGGTTTAGGGTTTAGGGTTTAGGGTTTAGGGTTTAGGGTTTAGGGTTTAAGGTTTAGGGTTTAGGGTTTAGGGTTTAAGGTTTAGGGTTTAGGGTTTAGGGTTTAGGGTTTAGGGTTTAGGGTTTAGGGTTTAGGGTTTAGGGTTTAAGGTTTATGGCGTAGGGTTTAGGGTTTACTGGAGGGTTTGACCCTTTCATGGGGCCTTCGGCGTGAAAGCTCAAGGGCTTGGGTTTTAGGATTTCGGGGCCCGAAATCGGGACGGACCCTAAACCCCCCGCGGCTTGAAACATCTTAGAGCCCATAGAGCCTATAAGCACTAGAACGAACAGCTGCCAACCCGATAAAACTCTCTGCCCCAAGATTTTCCGAACCCTGAAACCCTGAAACCCTGAAACTAAACCCTAAACTCTAAACCCTGAAACCCTGAAACCCTGAAATCTACGCACGCCCTGAGACAAGGCAAGCAGGAGCTTCTTCCCGGGGCGCGGGGCGGGCTGCCCGGGCCAGACTCGAAGCTGGTAGTCGACCTGCAGAATAATAAGAGTTTAAGAGGTTTTAGGGTTTAGGGTTTAGGGTTTAGGGTTTAGGGTGTAGGGTTTAGGGCTTAGGGCTTAGGGTTTAGTGGACTGTAGTAGCTTCCTGGGCCCAGAGTCGGTTGCCCTCCAGTGGTTTACCATCAAAAACCCAAAGACAGGTCTTTTCTGGTCTAGAAACCCTACCTTGAAAACCGTCTTTGGGACAGGATTCCTTTCATTGGTCCTTTTCCACCACTTGCAGGCGTGGACATCAGTGGGTCAACTGTACAGAAGCTTAGCCGCTTGGAAGGTTTTTGGGGGGAGGTTTGGATGCTTGGGTGCTAAAGGAAAGAACCTGCTCTCGTCAAGGCACGGGCACGCAACTGTGGGTTGCAAAGTGCCTGCCCTAGGCGTCACCAAGGCCCACATGTGTGGCAAGGCAAATGAAAAACGGAAAAACACGTTTCTGGGCGCGGCACGCGCACTTTTGAGAGCGCTACATCTCCCACCGGTCTTGCACGAACTCGGTCCGAGCGCTCCTCCTTAAGGATTTGGATCAAACTCCAAATCCTACACCCCGCCCTGAAGAAGCCCTCGAGCCTCAAGGGCCAACGCATCCTAAAGCCATCCTCCCCATATTCCATGCCCGCCTGGTCAAATCCTCAGCCAGCGGGTCCTGGCAAGCCAATCCGAAACACAGCGCCCCAGAGTGGGGGCTGGGGTCAGAAGGGTTGTACAAGCGTTAAGGGTTACGGGCGTTATATGCGTTCAAGGCTCAAAAACATTTTGGGTTGGGATGTTGGCTGGTGGCAAACTGTAATGTGGATGCGCGCCAGCGCCTTGTCGATCAAGCGACCAGAGCCTTGCTTAAAATAAAGAATCTCCAGCACCGTTTTCAAGCCCTGGGCACCGAACGCCTTCACCATCAGCCGAGCCAAAAAAGCCCTCAACACCGCACCCCAAGGGTCAAAGAACTGCGGCGAATGAAACCTGAAGGTGTCGTTCCGAGGTTCGGGCCGTCCGAGATCCCTCAACCCTGTAAGGCCTACAGGCCTTGCAGGCGCTACACCCATCAAACACAGGGCCAACGAAAACAATGCCAAGATGCTTCGAGACCACCACGCGAACCCTGTCCCCGACAAACAAAAACAAACACACACACACACACACATATCTCTCTCTCTCAAAAAACAAGCAAGCAAACAAGTAGCAAGCAAGCAAGAAAACAAGCAAACAAGCAAGCAAACAAACAAGCAAACAAACAAACAAACAAGCGCACAAACACACAAATTAAGAAAACGACACCAACAAACGCACGGCACAAACAAAACGGCACTTTCTGCCTTCGCGGAGCGGCCCCGTATCTTCGCACGGAAGACCGCGGCGGCTTTCCGAACAGCCCGCTCCTTGGCACCGAGGGTGCTTTAAGCTGCTCGGAGGTTAGGCTCCATTGAGATTGGGCGCGTGGGATTTCAGGCTCAGGGATTTTGAGTTGCAGCTTTTGGGGTTCACGGAACGGCGGGGTAGGACTTCTGGTGCAAAGTTGTGGGCGACTACGGTGGACAGTCGTCTAAGAAAACCCAGCATGACCTGGGTAGGCAAATGCCCATCTGGAGTACCCACCTTGCCCTTACAACAGGCAGGATTTCCATAACTCGAGCACAGAGCCTTTGATGCTCGTTCAAACACAATCTTAACTTTCGCGGGTTGCAGAGGACAGGCATGCCACCAGTATGCGCAGAAGCCCCAGCCCAACTCCTGAACTATTTGCACGGACTCCATGCAATGCATCGGATGCCTCTGAGACAAAGCCCTCTTTGCATCGAGTTTCCCTAAGAACCGTCACGGTCCAAAGTCTCAAAAAACCCTAAACCCTAAACCCGAAACCCTAAACTCTAAGGGGCTCTCATTTTTTTACTCGCGCGGAAGACAAGTGAGTGCCGAAGGAGCTCACGCGCGGCGACGCTTCCGGAGGCCGAGGCCACCAGCCGGCTCAAGGCTTTTAGGGGCAGCAGGGTTAGGGTTTAGGGTTTAGGGTTTAGGGTTCAGGGTTCAGGGTTCAGGGTTCAGGGTTTAGGGTTTAGGGTTTAGGGTTTAGGGTTTAGGGTTTAGGGTTTAGGGTTTAGGGTTTAGGGTTCAGCATCTCAGGTCCAAGCATTCACTTGTCAAGAAATTACTCCAGAAAAATACCCACCCGCCCGAAGAATCCCACAACATTATGAAAATATTTCACTTATGGAACGACCTTGCCCAGTAAAAAAATGACCTTGCCCAGTAAAAACATGACCTTGCCCAATAAAAAAATGACCTTGCCCAGTAAAAAAATGACCTTGCCCAGTAAAAAAATGACCTTGCCCAGTAAAAAAATGACCCTGCCCAGTAAAAAAATGACCTTGCCCAGTAAAAAAATGACCTTGCCCAGTAAAAAAATGACCTTGCCCAGTAAAAAAAATGACTTTGCCCAGTAAAAAAAATGACCTTGCCCAGTAAAAAAATGACCTTGCCCAGTAAAAAAATGACTTTGCCCAGTAAAAAAAATGACCTTGCCCAGTAAAAAAATGACCTTGCCCAGTAAAAAAACCCAGTAAAAAAATACCTTGCCCAGTAAAAAATGACCTTGCCCAGTAAAAAAATGACCTTGCCCAGTAAAAAGATGTAAAAAAATGACCTTGCCCAGTAAAAAAATGACCTTGCCCAGTAAAAAAATGACCTTGCCCAGTAAAAACATGACCTTGCCCAGTAAAAAAATGACCTTGCCCAGTAAAAAAATGACCTTGCCCAGTAATGACCTTGCCCAGTAAAAAAATGACCTTGCCCAGTAAAAAATGACCTTGCCCAGTAAAAAAATGACCTTGCCCAGTAAAAAGATGACCTTGCCCAGTAAAAAGATGACCTTGCCCAGTAAAAAGATGACCTTGCCCAGTAAAAAGATGACCTTGCCCAGTAACATTTTTACTGGGCAAGGTCATTTTTTTACTGGGCAAGGTCATTTTTTTACTGGGCAAGGTCGTTTTTTTGGACGAAACGACCTTGCCCAGTAAAAAAATGACCTTGCCCAGTAAAAAAATGACCTTGCCCAGTAAAAAATGACCTTGCCCAGTAAAAAAATGACCTTGCCCAGTAACTCCTTAACATTTAAATTATATATGAAAGAGAGGTTTAGGGTTTAGGGTTTAGGGTTTAGGGTTTAGGGTTTAGGGTTTAGGGTTTAGGGTTTAGGGTTTAGGGTTTAGGGTTTAGGGTTTAGGGTTTAGGGTTTAGGGTTTAGGGTTTAGGGTTTAGGGTTTAGGGGCTTAGGAAGCTTAAGACAGGGGCCCTGAATAATTAGAATAGGGTTTTGAGGGTTCTTAAAGTATGATTCTGAAGGGATCCTAAGGGAATATTGTCAATAATTATTCCGATCCCTATTTTTTTTTAGAGTCTGGAACTTCCTGGTCGATAAGCTTTCAAAACACATCAACTTCTGGCATCTTCGAGATGAGGGTGGGGGGGGGTGGGGGGGGAAACGCCATGCCGTGCGAAAAGACTGGGAACTCCTGTTTTGGCACAGACTCTGCAGCTCTCTGTCTGGTCTGTCACGGACTCCTCTGCTTCATCCGCAGATGCGCAAGAAATTTTTTGGGGCCTGTTGCTGTTCTGGGGTATTGGCTTGGGCCTTGCGGGTTTCACCCTGAACCACCCGGAATCTTAAGTAAGGCTGCAGGGTTGAAGGCGTGCCGAAAGCTGAAGGGTTCAGGCTTGTGCTCCCAACTCTCTACAAAAGGGTGGGGGGGCGCAGTGAACATGCTCGAGAAGCTAAGGTTTACAATTTACAAATGAAGCTGTTGGCTACCTAGGGGCCTGATCGTCGCAGGACATCCGAACTAAGGCAGACTAGGACTCTGACTAAGTCAGAGTGCGGTCAGGGTCTAGGGTTCCTCTCACCAGGCACAGCAACACCCACATGACGATCCAACCTCGCTTTGGGAAAACCGTACTTGGTAGCCGGGGTCATCACGGAATGATGTATTTAACGCGCATTAGACCCAATGAGCCTCCACAATCCTGACAGCACCCAACAAGCGAAAGCTGCTCGTAACATCAACCTTTGTCTACTCGGCCTAGGCCATCATCTGCGTTGAGGCTACCAGGCGTCCGTGTGACATGCCTCGCGCGCGTCAAACCACCAGCTTCTTGGGCGCCGAAGTGTAGCCGGACTGCTTCATCGTTGTGAAAGCATAGTTGTCCACCTTACATCAGAGCTCTGGCTGCAGCGGTTCATACTGAGTGATGGCTTGGGGCACTAAAAACCCTATGAATGCACGGCCCCAAAGGCCATAAGCCTAAAGGTGCCTGACTCGCCCATGCCCTGACATGCCCTGAGCTAGCTGAAGTTCTGAGCACTGACCTCTTCACCTCTGGGCACCGCAAGAGTCGGCAACAACAAAAACTGATGGGGTTCAGGCGGTTCAAGAAGAGTGGAAGGAAATCGATAGGAAAGGTTTCCAAAAAACAGTGCAGTGTGGGCAGTATCCCTCTTTCACGACATGCCCAAATGCTCTGAAACCGAATCCCTGCCCCTGCACACATTACTCAGGCTCCTGGGTCTTAGGGCTGTCGTGAACGCTTTCCTAGCTGCTCCTCGGCTGGATATGGGTCTGTCATCTTCCTGAACCCTTGCCACTTTTGGGAGCTTGCTCAACGCATTAGCTAGTCGCTGTCCGGATTTCGGCAGACTAGCTCAGTAGGAAGCCCTGGGTGGCCCGATATACGTTGAGGTCAAAGCGGCCATGTATTCCCAGATGTCTCTTCTCTACACAACGACTCACCCGCCCAACCCTGGAAACGCATTTTGAGGACGGCAAAAACCCAAGCCCGAAGCCCGAAGCCCCAAGCCCAAGACGAAGCTCTACACCCCTCAAGCCCAAGCAGAGCTACCCGGGAGCCCAATGAACACCACACCCGCGGTTTAGGGGTTTAGGGTGTAGGGTTTAGGGGTTTAGGGCTTAGGGTTTAGGGTTTAGGGGTTAGGGTTTAGGGTCAGGGTTTAGGGTTTAGGGTTTAGGTCGGGTCGCATTGGCCCAGAAGTCGGGCTCATCCAGGTTGTAGCCTGCACCAGTGGCTCTGTGTCTGAACAATCAAAGAAGCTCTTGCTGCGGCTAGCCACTAAACCCCATAGCCCCAACTATGGCACATACACTCACCCTTATATATATATATATATATGGTCACCCCCCCCCCCAATGGACCCACCGCGGGCCTTGATCTTTGCAAAAGTACCGCAAATACCGATAAAACCTCTGCTGTCTGGTGATTTTCCGGTGACCGGATTTTTGACTGTATTCCTTAATTCACCCTCTCACACACACACGGAGGTTTTTCTTTCTGTTGGCTTTTGTTTATAATTTAAGATCTAGGCATTTAAACCTAAGCCTGCAAAAAAACCCTTAACCTTAAACCCTGTAGGGTTAAGGTTTAAAGGTTAAGGGTTTAAGATTTAGGCATTTGAACCTATGCCGGTAATTAAAGCTAAGCCCTTAACCTTTAAATTCTATAGGGTTAAGATTTTTACAGGTTTAGGCTTTAAGATGTAGGCATTCAAACCTAAGCCTGCAACTAATTTTACACCCTTAACCTTTAAACCCTGTAGGGTTAAAGTTTAAAGGCTTCGGGTTTAATATTTAGCCATTTAAACCTGTAGCCAAGCCCTTAACCTTTAAACCCTATAGGGTTAAGATTTTTAAAGGTTTAGGATATAAGATGTAGGCATTTAAACCTAATTAAGCCTGCAACTAATTTTAAACCCTTAACCTTTAAACCCTGTTGGGCTAAGGTTTAAAGGTTTCGGGCTTAAGATTTAGGCATTTAAACCTATTCCGGCAATTAACGCTAAGCCTTTAACCTTTAAACCCTATAGGGTTAAGATATGTAAAGGTTTAGGGTTTAAGTTTACGGTTTAGGTATTTAGACCTATGCCGGCAGTTCATATTGAACCCTTAACCTTAAACCCCATAGGGATGAGATTTAAAGGTTTAGGATTCTTTACTTAGACATTTAAATCTAAGCTGACGATTCGACCTAAACCCTTAACCTTTAAACCCTATAGGGTGAAGGTTTAAAGTTTTAGGGTTTAAGATTCAGACATTTAAACCTAAGACAGCGATTAACACTAAGCCCTTAACCTTTAAACCCTATAGGGTTAAGGTTTAAGGAATTGGGGTTTAAGATTCAGGCATTTAAAGCTAAGTATGTAATCAATTTGTCACCCTTAACACCTCTAAACTCTGTAGTGTGAAGGTTTCAAGGCTTAGGGCTTAAAATTTAGACATTAAAACCTAAGCCCATAGAGTTTAAACCTTAAGGGTTTAAGGTTTACGCATCTATTCCTTAACCCTAAACCCTCTAGGGTCAGGACCCTAAAGCCCTC